AATATATATATATATATATATATATATATATAGTATACTCTTAACCCTACAAAAAGTGACAGAAAGAACTAGAGGGGGTAATGGGGGCACGGGGTATTAATTTAAGTTATAAATGAACTCATATTATATTTATATCTTATAGTGTTGAGTAGATGGCAACAAGGTAATGCCAGCCACCAAATAAGTGAAAACCGATAAAGCGTTAGAAGACAGGTCATCATTCATATTTCCCATTGGTACTACACATAACTAAAGATATTAATCAACCAAGTCAACATACTATCCAAATATAGAAGAGCAGAAAAGACAAAAATCTGAGTTCTTTAAAGTAGAGAAACTCACGTTATAAATAATTAAATGCAGACAATCCTAATATTACCTTGGTGATAGTTGACCCAAGATGACAATGAGCTCCAACAAGTTTCAATTCCTGAGGATGTGCCTTGACAGCATCTAGAAACCATTGCAGCTTCTCATTTCTGATGCCAAATTTGGAGCTCTTATTCCCAGTGGCAACATAAGGATGAACCTAACCCACTCAAGAAGTCAGAACAAAATGATTACAAGGCACAATGATTCATCAGCCAGTATCAAATATTAGTGAATGCTAGCATGATCATGTTAGTAATAAAATGTCTGCCAAATAGTTGAGGCACAGACAGTTATTGTAGAGGAATAAGCAGAGATCCAAGCATTATACTCATTATGGCACGTGAAATACCTGGGGATCTACATCTGGATTAATCCTGAGTAGCACGTTAACTTTCTTCCCAGCCAGTCTTGCAGCTGCTACAATGTTATCCAAGTCAAATTCACTGTCGATGTTTACAAACACACCTGCTTGGGCAGCTAGCACTAGGTCCTCTAACAGCTTTCCATTTCCATTAAAAATACACCTATGCGAGAAAAGTTGATGAACTAAATTAATGCAATATAACGGCAAGTGGCAAAATGTATAGCAAATACATTAAACTCAAATGTACAAAAGAGAAAAAAACATGGATAAAACGAAGAGGATAGATTCAGCTATTGCTCAATGTCCTCTGCAAATGCTTACAATAACAGAAAGTCTTACTTAAAAAACAAAAAGCTGGGAAGTGCTTGAGTCTAAAGTTTGATATAGACCTTTGTTCCCTGGCAAGTTGCAAATGTTTGTAGGGGTAAGAAGCAGGGTTCTCTCTTTCTTTCGTAACAATTTTCTCTTGGAGCAACACTCACTACTGTAACCACTAGAAATTCTTTTTGATTTCCACTAAGATTTTTGGCACACTAATCCGACACATATGACAGATCTTCCTAAACTAGTACAGGCACAAGATATATACACCTACCTCTAACTCAGCCCCAGACAACTAGAGAATACCCCAGGCTACCTCCAACAAAAAATCTAAGGCAGGTTTTACTACTGGTAAAACCTCTCATTCTCATGTCAAATACCAAGTTTATCTTTCCCAGGGTGGCTCAACAGTGTTAAGAAAAAGACAAGCGCCTTAGGCCCCCAAATTTAAGGGGCCTCATTTTAAATTATAATACGTTATAAGTTATTATTTTTAACAAATATTGAATACTATTTGTAGAAAAAGTAAACTTTTTATGAAAAATGAAATAATTATTAGAAGAAATTTGACATATTTGGAATACTTTATCTCTAAAAAATATTTCAAAATAAGAAAGGTCATAATATCAATTGAAATCAATCATATAAAAATTATTAACTTATTCAATTTAAGGCCCCGTTTGATTTTTTGCTTTAGGCCATTAATATGATCTTTCCCCCCTTTTTGTTGGGTGAATAGACCTCACAACTCGAACATATATTACTCCAGAGTATATTCAAGAAAGTAAATTTGAAGGTTTTCCACATGTGTTACAAATTACTGAATACCAGTTTACGGGATTGGGATATAGTACGAAACTAACAAGATAATCAAGAAACAAAGATTCTAAACAATAAACTTTATCAAGAAACAAAGATTCTAAATAATAGAATTATTTCAAGAAACAAAGATTCTAAACAATAGAATTATTACTTGGTAGGATCAAATCCAGCACCAAGTGCCAATTTGAGTTCATTCCCACTAACCAAAACAGCTCCACAACCAAGGCTCCTCAAATGTTCCAAAATCTTGAGATTATTGTTGGCCTTAATAGCGTAACCAATAATTGAATCCAAGCCCTCTAAAGCGGCCTTATAAGCCTCAACGTTCCTAGTAATTTGGGGCTTACTATATAAATAAAAGGGTCGTCTTTCGACAGTCTCCATAACATCTTCAACCTTAACACCCTCACAATACAAAAACCCATCTTCACATTTCTTGAAACAATGCTGAAATTTCTGAGTTTGAGGCTCAGAAGTTGATACAGATGCCCTTATGCTAAGGTTTCTTGAAATGGGCTTCAACGGAAAATTGGGTTTGAAAAAAGAAAGTTTTTGTGATGCATTTGATGGGTATTTGAGGGACTTGTGAAGTGATGGAGAGTGTGAGACAAGGTGTGTAGCCGCCATTGTTGGAGTAAAGATACCAAAAGGCTTTTAGACTTGATGAAATTACAAGGGTTTGCACAGATTAATAGGAATCTGTCCTTAAAAAATCAATATATATATAAATGAGGACATAGACAAGCTGACGTGGCACTCTCTATGGCCTCCATTCCTTTTTTTCATTTTCTCTCTTTTTTGATATTTTTTTTTTATGAAATAATTTGTTTATTAATTAAAAAATTTAAATATATTTATTATTGTAATTATATATAATAGTTACAAAAAAACCTCCATCTATTGATATTCTCACTTAAATTGCATGTCTTTTCAATTTCCTTATAACTATTTTTGTGGCTTATTCAATCTATAAATACCTATCATCCATAGAGATGTTGAATGTACATTTTCATTTTTTCATCCTTTCTTTTTAGTAGTATAGGTTTTTAATTTTCTTTTCTTCGTCTTTTTATTCATCAATCATGTATATAATAAAAAAAAGACATAAAAAAGATGATGTCACAATATGACCTTCACTTTGACGAAGATCATACATATATTCTTCAAATATTCATCACATTATTTGGTATAAGTTCAACAAAATGAAGAAGGAAGCATAATTATCTTGGAGATTCCGGAAGATAGAGTCATAATATTATAAAAGTTGAATGATTTCCAAACATTTTGAAAATTCATTGCTGTATTATTTTGATTCCAATTAATATTATTCTATTCTCTTTTATTTTATTTCTTCATTTTGAACAAAAAAAATGATTATTCTATTCATTGTA